AGCCGTGCTCACTGGCTATAACAGATGTGTTGAAAAGCTCTAGCCAATCGGCATTTACTCAGCAGAGTTTGTTTGGTTTAACAATAGAATCCACCAACAGTGGACTTTATTGTAATACCATAACCAACACTGATTGGACCACGTAGAATTGCATAAAAATACACTCGATCAGGTGAATTTGGTGCTTATTTGTGAGAACAGTGTAGCATGTTGTTGGGTGAACTCCGGAGATCCGCCAGAATCATGTTCGCTCAAGAATTTGCTGCTCCGGAAATTGACTGAGATTTGGAAACTATGCCTCCAGTTGACAGCAAACAAGTCACCAAATACCAGCAGTCACGCATACCCAAGACAACTCGTAGCTACAATATGGGGCGTCAAAACATGGAATGAGTAGAAAGAGCAACGTAATGTTAAAGTTGAGTATGATAAATCTGATGAAGAAGTGTATTTATTTGGTTCCGTCTCTGGATGAAAATTTAGTCCCGAATTGATTTCTGGCTATGTAAATTTGCCATTGAAAGTCGTTAACAACAGTATCCGCCAGACTCATTAAGACAAATGTTCTGTGCCATTTACCGCTATCTGCGCGATGATTGTAACCGCCCTGACGTAAATTTTATGGACCAGGGCAACCACGACTTCTTAGGTTTCAGAAATACACTGGATGGTGTCATGAAGACAATCTCTCACTCTGGTATTGGTATCCGGAAAAAACAAGCCGAGCCATTTTCGCTAAATGATGAAGAAAAGCTATGGGCACACGTGTTTGGTACAAATACCGCATTAGGCATGAGTTATGCAACCTACTTTTACATGTGTAAAATATTTGGACTGCGTGCCGCTGATGAACATTCAACACTAACGGTAGACCAACTCACCATGCACAGCGACGATATGGGGAGTACATGGTACTCAGGGAAAACCATCGAAAACTGACCAGGGAGGATCTACTGCAAACCAGGGCAAAAATTAAATATTAAGTATTAAACACTACGCGCAATCAGATAACTCGCGCTATGTTGTAAACTTGTTTCGGACATATCTGTCATATATCCCAAACAGCGGGCCATTCTATGGAAGACCACTGAAGTCAAAGAATGGCGAAATAAAGTTCTCTGCACAAAAGCTTGGTGTTCATACATTGCAAGGATACAGTAAGCAGATGACTGATCTCGCTGGGGTAAAAGGTTATCATACTGGGCATTCAGGAAAGGTACGTATTAGAATTTGCACTTTAGTAATGCAATGTTCGATTTCCCCGCTGACAAGAAATAGTCATAACTTTATGTCGAAAATAATCACTACTTGTTAACTCCATTTTTTCATGCAAACTGTTTGGTGGAATACCATTTAAATATTATATTCACTGGCACGATATGTCGGATTTATTTCGCGCGATGAAGATTTAATGCAAACTGCTTTGGCGTGTTTAAAAATGCTGAATGTTTGAACGTACTATAACAATATATTAATAATAATTGCTATGAGGTGGACTGTTACAAGCTATTGTACTTTCATATTAATACATTGTATTTTATTTTAATTAAACATGTTACACAGGCAACCACGCTGTTCCGGCAAAATTTCTACGAGCAGCTAATAGCAGAAAGAACGGGTCACTCCAGTCTAGCAATTAGAAGCTACGAGCAGACGAAAGCGGTGTCGGACGCATTGCAGCCACCCAAACCGAAAACGGCGAAAGAAGCGAAAACGCACGACATATCAACCACCCCAACAGACGAGGACAAATCTAATACCACTGTCATAACCGATTCGTCCCAAGTGTCCGTGAATTTTGTAAAAGGAAATGTGTATCGTATAATCGTCATTGCGTATTTAAATAATTAAATGAAAATTCCACCTTGTTCTTTGTTTTCATTCAGTGACCACCTGTTATGTTAATCAGCTTTCCACTCCTGTTGTGCTCATGAATATTTAAATTAATCCATTGATAAAATAGTACCGTTAACAGAAATGCATAATTAATTAGGTTGAAACTGTCCGCTAACGAAAATAAGAAACAGTTAGAACAATGGGGACGAGACAAAAAGTATAACTACATATAAAACAATCTAAATCACAATAAAACCTAGGCACATATCACAGGAGAAAGTAAATAATAAATGGTTTAATGGAACAACAATTCTTGTATTGTTTTACCTGTGCATTTGAAATGTACTAATGAAGAAAATTTTACAAAGAAAATTAATAATGATTACAGTGCCATAATCAATTATAAAAAAAATCAATATTATTTGTTTCAGATATTGATTGAGATGGGCTCCTTTTTAAAACAGATTATGTGGGTTAAACAGTTTGTTTCTGAAAGTCGAGCCGGATGGAAGGATATGTTAAAGTACTGATGATTTGAGGCTATGACGTTTAGTTATTTGTATAATGATATTGATACATTGTCATGGAACATCTCGTGAGTACTTAGGCTCATTTCCAGACCTAGCAGTTGAGTAATATGACAGAACCCCACACCCTCCCCGTCACGGGCGCTTGCAACAGGATTTATGGTTAAGGGAGATGGGCTTGGGTTAGGGTTATATGCTAGTATAGAAATAAAGACGGGGTATGAAACGTCCGCACTTGGAATCGCTGTACACCGAATACGGCTGGTTTGTGAATAAACTCGCACACTACACTCGCCAAAAAAGCGATCCACTTGACTATAAGACTCTTATTTATCCAATTTTGTCATACGTTTGTAATAATTTGTCAGTAAATTCACAGAAAATGATAATTTCTGGCGCTATCGAGCGTCGCGGCGTGAAAAACACAACTACTCCCTGACAAGCTCCGCCCATCGAACGCGCATTGGTGGAAAGGTCTCGGGTCAAAGGGTCACACTGATTTCAAATACAATAGCGGTCACCTACGAACGCAAATACGGTAGCCAAAATCCGGAAGAAAGGGAGTTTCATCTCTTGTGAAAGCAGGAAGATGGCATTTTATAGTTATTGGTAGGTACTATCGCATATAACATCAACTATTTTACACCAAACTCATTGCGTTGGTAAATGCTTTTTCGAAAATTCGCTACTTTACAGGGGGTACCACTCTTAAAGTAGCATTTCGTCGAACACGGTCTAGCGTTTGCACCGATTGCTTTAAAGTTAAAACAACACTTGTAAAACACGTTTAAAACGCTATTACAGGTGTCTTATAATAAATATATGACTGTGAATAAAGTATAATTTATTTTTCACCATAAATATACATCAATCTACACAGTATATATATACAGTACACTGCAAGCGAGTTCATCTCCTTTTAAAATTCCGATTTTACATGTATGTGTATATACAGGATTTTGTCAAACTTGAAAAGTGCAAATGAGTGATGGTATTGTGTGTGGGTCAGTTTACAAAGCGTATTCTACGTCATTCGCGTCCACCACTGGGAGCAACAAGATTGTCAGTAAAAAGGTACATAGACTAGGACTCAATCAATGCTCTGTTTCTGTAAGATCCTATTAAATATAGTCTTTTGTTGTGTGTTATAGACTAGGATTTCTTTTATTTGTAATGTACTATATCATTATTTTTTCCATTTTAATGGCAGATATTTTCTAGAGCTCTGAAATGTCTTTATTTCTATACTAGCATATAACCCTACCCAAGCCTATCTCCCTTAACCATAAATCCTGTTGCAAGCGCCCGTTCTCCCGTTGCGTATGGAA